TTATAAAGTCACAAATATCAACGGTTATAAATCAAAAAACAAGGGAAAGGCTACCAATCGACTCACTTTTCTCAAAACGGTCCGCTGAGGGTAACCCTTCGCTGCACTGTCTCCGTTACTAAGGTTACAAACTCTATATCAAAAGGTCAAAAAAAACTAAGGCGTGGCGGTGTAACCAAGCGATCAGCTAATCGCTGCAGTCGACAGCATGATCACATGATTACCAGGGATGCGTCTCTCGGTTAAAGCATTGCAAAGCGGTAACTAATAAACAATGAATAAAAAGCTATTAATCAAACTCCTGTCATATACGCTTATAAACTTCAACTGAACTCACAATTCGTTAATCTAAACAAAAGTCATACGGCGTGGAAACAGAATGCAAAGACAAATTCGCTTTCATAACACATTACTCCTCTGGCAAAAAGACGGAAAGGCTAAAACGATAGAAACTACTAAGTTACATAAACCTGTCAATCATGAACAAAAGCTTGCGTTATCAAACAATACGCATATAAGCGCACCAAACTCTCATCTCAAAAAGACATTAAAAAACGTTACAAAGGTGCTATCAACTCAAAAAGCGTCAGAAGTATTCCGGAACAACACGTAAACAAAAACAACTCTTAAAACGTCGGTATCTCTGTACTCGACAAATCTCAAAACTCTGAAAAACTCATTGGGGCATTACTTTCCCCATCACAATCCGTACTCATGAACTCATTAAAACTCCATAAAACTTCACAAAACTCCAAATCACTGTGTTGCAAATACTTGTCCACAAACGCGCTTAAATCGTTACAAAGGACCTCGAACGTCACCAAATATCAGTTCAAAACAAAAATCTGGGCGCTTACATACATACAATTCGACATCACTAAAAGAAACGGTAAAAACGATAATAAAAAGCAGGCAATACAATACATTACTGAGCAATAGGGTTAGGGTTGTGGAAAAGAGTTCAACGTCCTGAGTTACGTGTCAGTTACAGTGTCCAACGAGCGGTTCTCTAAGCAATACAAAGATAGCTAAAGTCAAAGTCTATAAGCGTCTTCTTCTCTTGTCGCGTTTCCGGGTCGTTCTTTCATCTTCTTCTTGTCTTTAATGTCGCTCAATTCTTAATTACACTGTCCTATCCGGTACTCGTCCTTCATAAGGGGTTCAGAAGTCTTCATCTCTTCAGCGTCGTTCATCGGTGCCATACTGTTAACGGTGTTAGTCGTCGAGCGCGGTTTCGTCTCTGCCATCGAGCCAGTTAGTTCGGTTCGCAAGAAAGACACATCTTCGCCATTTCACTTCTCTTCACAGGATGTCAATGTGTGTTAAACACCTGCCCGGGTTCATCCAAAACGTATCAGGGGTAAATTCTCTTTCTCTCGGGTTCTCCACACTTGTCAGGGGGAAACTCGTCTCGTCTCTCTATCTCGTCCCCTTGAGGTACGGGATCGGGAAAGTCACTTATACTTTACAGTCAAATAAGACGCACACAACGAAATACGTTTCAGCTCTCGTCTTAGTCGATCAATCGAGCACACTATAAGACACAGCGCCCTGGGGAAAAAATTCCCAAGACTCTCGCAAGGCTGACCCAAGACTCGCCCAAGACTGGACTGCCTCAAGGCTCGCCCCTGGACTCTCTCGGACTGCGTCTGTCGTGGAGTATTCGCCAAGACCAACTCAAACTCTCTTTATTCATTTTCAAAACTCTAACCAATTACAAAACAGTAAAAGACTCTAGGGCGTAACCTTCAATCATAAAGCCAATCACACTAAGTACTGAATACGTCATATCTTTTGATTAATCGTTCACTACATTAATAACTATGGAATACCAACTGTCAGAATCGCGACGGATATCTCGTAATTAGTTCCAAATCACTGAGCCAAGTTCCGTCCAAAACTTCAAATAGACCTAAACGATGACAGACATAACACAGCAATTCAGCTAATAATCAGTTAATTAAGTCGGTCAACAGATACGCGAAAACAAATTCATGACACTAACATTGTTGTAGCTTTAAATATTCAATTACGATGCGCCAATTGCGTAAATCCTGATAAATGCCATCGTTAAATTGGGAGATCAATCAATGGGAATGGAAATGTTAAATAAATTACTGCGCCAAAATATCAACGTTGCTCATATGTTCATAAGCAAGTTATTCCCGGATTTAATTTTAGCATATTAAATTTGATATTGCAATACATTTTATTGTTAACTTTACATATTCACTAGATTTTAATATAGCATAAATAGCTATCTGCGAAATGAGTGAAAACAAAAATACAGAGAATAATTAAGTCTTAAGTCTGAGCATATTTCACTTTGCTTCGAAAGTAACGCGAATGGCTCATCTACAAACCAAAAATCTAAAGTAAAATCGAAACGATTGACTACATTTAAACAAGCGAAACATTTTATTTTTTTCAAAATATTTTTTGGCTAAAGTGACCGCAATTCGATATATATATATATTCAAAAACTGAAAGTAAAAAAAAAGTAGCTATAAATAAATAAATAAAAATAACAGTAACAAAAAATTAAATTAAGAAAAAAATAATTTTCAGCCATGGCAGTGGGAGTGGCAGGGCGGATTTGATGCAAGCTGTTCATCCTGCGATAATGCGCGTTACTGTCACGTGATCTAATGTAATGACATAATCTCAATTTGTATACATTACATCACAAACAAATTAACACATAATTGTCTAATAATAGAATTTAATAACATTACGTGTACGCAGGTTGTTGCAACGTAACGTAATAGTCGTAAAAATAAAAAGTTTTGCAAGTTGGCACTTATCCACACTCGCCTACGCCTAAGTTCGCAATTTAGATTAGTGAATAAATAGCGGAAGTTCGACTGAATTATTATTTTATAGAACATACTTTGTCTTTGAATTGCTATGATATTCGTAGAACATCTTGGCGAGAAACGTCTTGTCAATTGCCGAAGATCACCGAGCATTTCTTTGACTGGCATTGTAAATACTCGAAAATTGCCGATCATTTCTGTGATTGAGATTTTGAGTAACCGAAAAATGCCGAACGATTCTGTGATTAACTTGAAGATTTTGTCATTAACTGAGAATTGCCGAACGGTTCTGTGATTGAGTCTATCAGTAGCCGAAAATTATCTAACACTTCCGTGATTAAGATTTCGGCATATTAAGGGTTATCAAATCATTTTTATTCGTGTTGCCAAAATGGTGACTCAGCATTTATCGGACCTACTACCTAGTTTAGTTGTGTTTTACGAGCATCCGAAGCGGAATCTAGAACAGCGACCCATGACTGCGATATTTTTGACGACAAAATATGTAAAGTTGCATTATGGGATGTTTTTATGATATATTGGGAATTTCTCGTTGTGAGCTATTGGGTGATTTGAATACGCGCGAATTGTTTTTGATTTCGAGGATTTTTGAAACCGCCCGCCTTGGAAATTATAGACGACAAAGCGTTTACGGCGTTTTTTTCTATCACCGATACATATGAAGTATCAATTTTCATACCCATGTACCATGTCACGAGAAGGGATTTGCAAACATTCAAAACCATTCCGTGCAATCTCCCACGCCGGGTTTTATTTCGACGAATATTTCTCCACCACAACTTCGTAAAGTTCGATACGCACTTCGTACTACTGTAAATGCATTAATTGTTGACTCGTTTTTTTGGATGATAAGTAAAATTCGCTAATTTATATCTATATGAACTAGTAAAATGATAATCAGACTCAATGTTTCCTCGACAAATTCGTAAAATTAATGTATATGTTCAAAAGGTCAAAAATATGAAATTAAATGTCAGTGAAAATAAATGGTTTTACAGTATTGCGTGAAGCACAAAGACCTATCTATGGAAAGGAGATTGATCTTCGCCACCATGCGATCGTATGCTTGTCATTGATTGGTCGATGTGTCACAGTGGCACTACTTTTAAAGATGTCCTCCAAAACATCGCCATGCTGGTGTTCGATTTTCGAACTCAACATTATTTCCTTGTGTAAATTATAATTATTTCACCCTTTTATTTGCGTTTACAAAAAAAAATCATTATAAGCTATCAATAACATATTTTAAAACTTGTTTACCATTAGAAAGAAATCAACACGAGCGCCCTCTCACAATAAAACAAGCCATGAATACGTGTAGTAAATGTCTTGTGGGCGTATAATAACAAAATGGCGGTGTATGGTGGCAGAGCATACTCCGTACAATACGACACGCATACAAATCACAGCACAAAGCAGATTTACAACTTATTTGCATATTCGACCATGCTCGAATTCTAAGTCCCTGTCGGTTAACACAGTTATGTGGGAGTCGTTACCAGCGCATGCGTCAGATGGTCCATTTTTAGCGTGTGTTGTTATCATCGGCTTGGGACTCCCGCGCGTGTGCATGTGACAACCCTCCCGCTTTAAGTCACCCGGTAACTTTTATTTGTATATTAACACATTCTTAAGCGCTAAATCTGAATGAAATGTTCAATAGTTAGATCTAAATCTGCATAGTTGCGTTGTAAACGTCTAGTATTCCCTAAGTTGTCACATCACTGGATTATAGAATGACTAACTTTATTCTCTAGCAAGGTGCTTTGGCTGTTAGACAATTCGAATCCGTTCAAGCCAGAAATATTGTTCATACTATTCCCCCATAAAAATATAAACAGGGATTGTAGAACATTTATTTGGATGAAATTAGTGTTTAATATTTTTTTCCCAGCTTGACTACGTAAACAGAACGTTGTTTATAGCCGGTGTAGAAAAGTAATTGATCACAAAACATATTGCTGTGGCAGAGGTACTATTGGGTAACGCACAAAAGCGTAGTTCTAACCAATAACGTCATAGGACGCAGCGGTTGCTTGGAAATGTTCGATTGTGTAAACTGTTAACGAGAGTATCGTCGTATTTACAAACACGGAAACGCGCGTGTTACACGATTTGTGAATAAGCATCAATTATACCAAAAACTGTTCCTTGTACACCCTAATCAGTAATCTCATAAATCATTGGGAATTCATATCATCATAGATTGTTTTCAAATAACCAGTCATACAATAAATAGTAGCAAACTTTAAACAATTACATCCAGCAACATCTTTATGTCATTGACCTGAAAGACGCGTTGTTTGTTGCAGCTATGCGATTGGCTGGTGCCGAGATTCGCGTTGGAAACAACGAGATGTTCCACGAGAACCAACTTTGCGGCACCGTGACGTCAGAAATGGTGAATCATGGAAGCGTCATCGATATCCAGTGTAATGACGACGGCGCGCCGATAGAGGGCCAGTTTGTGAGCGTACAAGTCAAAAGTAAACGTGGCGCCCTCTCGCTGTGCGAAGTCGAAGTTTATGCCGGTGAAGTGGACAGAGAGTTTGACGTAACGGGTCCACATGTGACTGTGGGACCACCTATCCAAGGTATGAATAAACTAAAATAAGAATAATTAAAATAAAATATAATAATATTTGAATGAAAGTAGGTCTGTCTGTGAAATCTCGAATTATTGGTCTAGATTGAACTGTTCATCTAAATATCCGCTAATAAGTCTGGGGATGGGGCACTTGCAGAATAAATCATATCAACCATTTGTTCGCTATTGGCTCTAAATTACCTAAACATTTTACAAGATGGAATATTAAAAATGTGCAATATTTATGTGGATGATTTGTAGAAGAAAAATCACCATTTTACATGCCACTCAGAGGATATCTCTAATTTTTATTTTTCGAACAATCACTAACATCGCCGTCGAATTTTAGCGAGCGCCATCATCTTGGACAGCGGTTCTTTGCCTAGCAACGGTTCGTGCGTGTGACAACGGTCAACATGATTTATTGGGCTGTGAAACACCTCGGATGTATTCGCCTAAAGGCATGAACAAATTGTGTTTGGGGACCGACAGACACTTGCACAGTATTTGCTGAAGCAAAGGAGGCACGACATTTTGCATGAGTGGGGCGAGATCTGCTCACCATTGCTCGCGCCGAGGTCGCGACCTTACTAAGGGAGGTCCGGGGGCATGTCCCCTTAAAATTTTGAAATCTAGATCTTCTGAAAAGCTAATTCTTGCATTTTAAGGGCAAATTATGCTGACACAAAGGGTTTTTATGGGGATCGTCACCCTAACATACGTTTCGAGGGGCGACCGCCCCCTCTCCCCTCCCCCTGTGCCGCTGTCACTGTGAAGTGCATCGGTTGCCAAATTAACGAATTTCCGGGTTATTCCACAGGATGTGCCGTACCAGGTGGTTTGGTTAATCTTGCCAAAGGTATGGAATCGGAACAGAGCAGCAGG